ATAAACCATTGTATATATACACATTTTCCAACCACCCACCATCAATAATCAAGCAGAAGCCGCAATCAAATAACTGCAGATTTTCCGACAATTCTTTCAAGTAAAACCATATTTAACGAAGCTAATAAAGACTATGAAACAGCCTTAAAAATAATGCATTCCCGTCATCACTCGCATACACACCACACAGTACAAAAATCCAACAGGAAGAGAAATGTCACATGGTTCAACCCACCATACAAAAACAAACGTAAAAACAAACGTAGGACAAATATTCATTAAACACATCACGTGCTCTTCACAAGATATTTAACAAAACACAGTAAATATTAGCTACAGTTGCATCGAGAACATGGCAAAAAATAATAAATAAAATCAACAGAAAAGCAACAAGCCACCTAAATAAATTAAACCCACGTGTAACTGCTAATAAAGAACGAATGCATCTTAAACGGCAATTGTTTGCAGAACTATGTAACATACCAAGCCACTGTAAACTCAGCAGATTTTATATATATATATATATATATATATATATAGCGAGAGACCGAAGTTCGTCACAGCGTCAGTATAAATGAGAACATCATAGATATAGACCACAAAACATCGTACTCTAGTCACAATCTTATCTTATAGACCCAGCTTAGTACATTAGAAAATAAACGAACAAAGATAAGATGACAATTTGTGCTGTGTCAATCTACTAATTAAGGAAGTACTTTCTTCTTGACTAATAAATCAACATTCTAAATCTTCTCTTTTACTCCGGCTCGAACCCTAAACTGCAACACTACTGGGGAAATACGTACCCATCTTAGCTCCGTGAGGAAAGTAGGTTTCCACGAGAAGAAAGCGAACAGCATTAAAATGCTGATATGGAGACTGTGTTGAGTTAATCTTCTAAGTATGGGTGGGCCTGTCTATCTCAATTATTAACATTCGAAAAGCTGGATTTTATTTTGGCTCGATTCTGACCACTAGCACCGGTTGAAATTAGATATATATCTTAACCACGAAGAAACCCTAGTTTCACATGTCATTCTCCACCTCTTAATTAATAAAACCTCGCGAATTTCTATGGCAGAAGCAGTCTTTAGATCTGAGAAGAGCGATACTTGGCACGGGGCCGTTACCACATCTTTTCCAGTCGGCCGTTGTACTTAACAAGATGCTTCTGCCAGAGGGCCGTAGTTTCAGAATAATTACTTCTGCAATCTTGACGTTTGCGGATGAAATTAGTTCAGAGTGACAAATTAGCATAAAACCGCTGGTAAATGATGTTCCTTGTAATGGCCAAATAAGAAAGATCTTCCCTGTAGTGCCACCTCCGACAAATATTTGACGTTTTCGATTTTATCATTCTCTAGTTTCCGGTAATAATCATTTGTTCTTCCTAGACTAATGTTACCTTGGAGAATGTGGAAAGAGAATCCAACAAAGTAATTCTGTTAACGCTTCTCTCTACCACAGATAGGTGACGCTAGTTACCACAAAAATCTCGAAACGAATATGCATCTACAGACATTCATTAAGTGAGACATTTGCGTTCGATTAGTATTTCAAATTGAAAGAATTTGCCTGCATTCAAAGGCTTGACTTTAACTTCCACCACTGGCGTCAGTCAGGCACATCCCAGCAATTATAGCAGGCAATAAAAGTTCTATATTATGAATGAAGTCATTTTTATTCTATTAAATATTAAAACGAGCACTTTCAATTTTGTGTTTCGTGGATGCATTATTTTCCCTACTTCCGGCGTATGTTAACTCGTGTTGGCCCCAGCTGCTTGCCAGGGACCTTTTATACTTTTACTCAAAGTGCTAAAATAAATTCCAGAGAAAATCTTTCAGAACAGATTAAAATAGAAAATAAAATTACATTAACATTATACTCATTTTGTCCAGTTGGAAAACTAAATTGTCAAGTATAATTCGTATGACCATTGGTACGTAAATCGTTTTTTTTTTCCTATTTATCATTACTAGTTTTGATCCGTGAAAATTTCAGAGTTTTCCTATTTTATTATTCTGATGAAACTTAATTCTTACGTTAATGATTGATTAGGCACAGGAAGAGTTCTACGACAATAAAATATTCTTAGAAATTCCCCTATCACATCGTTAAATGTTTGTGTTTAACGGCTTTACCAAAATATTGTAATAACAATCATAAATATGAAATCTTGTCGCTATTTTAAGAAGTGGGTACAAATGCAAAGATTTGAAATTGAGAACTTTTTGCATTTCATTGAAACAAACGTTAAATACGCTTATTTTTCTCTTTGTTCAATTCATTTCCTCACTGAAACCAAATAGTATCGTTTTCCATGTTTCCACGCGATCGAATTAGAATAATCTGTATTTATGAGTTATAGGCAGGCTGTAACGGTTGTGCGAACTAGCAAAGGTGAGATAAGCACAATTTTAATAGGATTATTATTATTATTATTAAGTGAGGTAGAATTAAATCACCAACGTGGAACTGTGGTATGAAGCCTAATATAACCATAATGACACTCACTCTGATAAGGATATACCAAGTACATGTCTCCCAACCAAATGTACTCGATACAATGACAGATTTTGATAAAAGCAGCACACAGTCTTGCAGATGTGACCCAAATAGAAATAGCTTTAAGTTAGTTAACCCAGTTCACTCAGTATCTAACTGTATCTCCCAAGTAGACTTGGCTGCCTCATCTTTCAAATTTAAACAAAACACTCTCGACACCCGCCATGAAGGAAAATGCGCCGTTCATAAATCCTTAGAGTAGATGTTCAACTGGTTAAATCGAGGCAAATTACAAGCAAATTATGTGATGCGTTGAACTGAATACTTACTGTAACATACATTGATTCAACATAACATGTACATATTAACACATTCAATCAACTAAAATCCGAAACAATGAGAGCCATGCCTGATGTAGTATTTGAGAATTCGTGTATTATTATTTTCATTATAATTTCCTCGAACAGATCACATGTCATAAATTAACGATCAAAATGAGCCATGACAAATGGCCACGGTTTCTATCATTTCTTGATTCACAGAACTTTTCTAAGAATTCTAGCTGTCCAAATCTGTGTTTTCAAAGCATCTCTGTGTAATTAACAGTCGCAATTTTACGCAGACATATTTAGATTTTGTCTATCGCTGTTCCGGTGGCACCGACACAACAACAGGAACAATTAGTTTCTTCAGCCTCACTACAAGGTTGTTATCAGATGTTTTAAATTCTGGATCCTTCTTTCCATCTACACCTTTGTCTTAGTTATATTTCTTTCTTATAATAATTATTATTATTTGAATCTGCTTGTTTGTTTTATTAACTTCATCCAAGTTTTAACCAGAAACCACAAGAGCCTGCATTTCAACATATCATGGTTTTTGGTACAGTTGGTGGGATACGTTGCTGATATTCCTAACATGATTTGTTTTTCAATTCTATGATGTCATTGAAATGCATATAGTAGTATAAAATTTCATTAAAATGTGTATGGGCATGCATAGTTTTTCGGAATCTATTTATGTCATAGGTGACAAATTCAAAAGTTGATACTGTTCATCTTTTTTCTTTCACGGTGAGTGTTTACGATCAGTTTTAACGCAATAAATAGTGGGTCGCTCTATACACAAGTAATTATTTTGAAGAGTTTAAAACTAATGCATTTTCGGTGACCAGATTCACTATACACAAATAAAAATATTCCGGAAGTCGGATAATATTCGAGTATATAACGTAAATTTATAATCAATATTAGCTTAAATTAACAATAATAAATAATGCGATTGAATCATTTCGAAGTTATAGCTATTGACATAGTTTTTTTTCTGTCGTTGCTTTTCCCTTCATATATTAGATGAAGCGATTACCTTCAATGAAAGACTGCGATTCAATCATCGAAACAAACGTCTAGAAACTTTCATCTTATTTAAGGGAAAAAACATTCTACTGACGTTTTCTTTACATGGCTGAAGTAAACTAACCCAAAGTAAATGTTAGTATCTACTTATTCGGAAATACCAGCCAAAAGCGTTGGTTGTCGCAACAAAATTACACAGACATTTATTGACGATGGGATTGAGCCAGAAAATCCATGTTTGGAAACTTGCTAGCTGGTGATGTCAGTGTATTGACCCAACGCACGAGTCGAAATTGAAAGGCTGCATATTAGCATTTCCACTTCTATTTTTTCTTCTTTTTTTTTTTTACTGGAATGCTTCAATGTTCACACACGAAGGAATGTCGTGTCACTTAGATTAATTTAATAAGATGTCTTCGTTTAAAGATTGAAGGCAATACCGAATTTCAGTTAAAAAAAAAACTTGTAGTTATGAACATCAACGCTCTTGACATGGAGTAGGAAGTTATCAGGACATATTTGTTGTGGTAATCACACATTTTTCACAAGTACCAAGAGTTGGTTACCAAATCGGATTACTTTTAAAAGTACCACTTAATTGTTGCATTTCGTTATTTAGCAAGTTGTACTTATTAAACTGTTCTCAGATAACTAAGTAGATAAAAATAAGTGGATGAATTTCTAAGGAAGAAAAATGAATTAAATTTCCGTGATACACATTAAGATTTTCGAATAAACATCCAGTAAAAACTAAATGTTTACGGCCAGAAATTTTGAGAAGCCTGGGAGTTTGGAATTATTTTTTGTAAGTTATGATGAATTTTCTTCTAGTCAATCTACACTTGTACAATGAAGTGGTTTTAGGAATTCATTAATTCATTCGTTTTCTACGGTTTATCAACCTATTTGCAGCCAGAAAATATTTTTAGATGAGAATTTTTTGAAATAATAATGATTTAGTGATACAAGTCTTACTAATTAAACCCTAACTAGATGTTAGAAATGATGACTTCCTACTTTTCCCAAAGGTATTTTTGCATAGATGAATATAAGCAACCCAACTGAAATTGGAACACAACTCTCCGATTAACAGTTCAGTGCCATTATCCTTTACATCGCCCACACATCCAAGATTACAGAACCTAATATTTCTCAGTGGTTACATATCTAGGTACTGACTAGACTCAGTGTTGCTTAACTTCGGTGATCATATGAGAACCGGTGTTCCAACATTATATGGCCGTAAGCCACAATAAAATCTTTTTTATGTGTCAAAAGACGGTACTATTATGGTTTTCCATAGTTTCCTGTCTTTTGATGTTACTAGCAATTTTTAAACATTTACTATCCAGCTTTGTCCCGGCCCGGCCATCAATTTATACAAAATCATTAACCCTAGAACAATAACCATCAATTACAGTTACACCACTACTAACCATGGGTATATCATACCCCATTTTAAAAATATCCAAAAAATATTAAATATAGATCTTTATTTGAAATATTTTGCATACAGGCACTTGCTTGTTTCGCTAGAACTATTATGACTGAGTAGTGAGTTCGATCCTCGCTGGGAGTTCCATACTTTCGGCCTTGCGCCACATCTAAGCAGAATTAGAAAATGGTTATGAACATGTACTTTATATAATGTTTGAAATATTTCTTAAGCCGTGTGACTATATATATGCTTTTTTGTAGTAGATACCAGTTAAAAAGTAAAAATAAATTCATCCTTGATAATGGCTAGACGTATAGCCGAAAGCGCTCGGAATTACATAACATTTGGACAGTTTCTACACACTCTGTGTCCAGAAAAGAAAACACTTGTTCGAATACACGGAAAATTTAATAAAAAGCTTAATCGCAGTACCTTGTATGTCGACTTTAATAGAAGATACACGCTCACACACACACACATATATATATATATATATATATATATATATATATATATATATATATGTGAGGGAATTTTTTTTGTTCTATCAAGATATATGTTTAAGAAATAGCGTGTTTTTGGGTTTTCTCCTATTTAATAAAATTGTGCTTCTTTGTCTATATCCTGGTGGAATCTTCTGTTGTCAGCGTTAGAATTTAGGAAAGTTTGCCTCGACTACAAGAGACACAAAGAAGGCGGACATATCAAGGGCAGTGGGAAATAGTCGGTAAGTTTTTTGACAACTTTCCCACCGGTGATCGAATCAGTTACTAATCCCTGCATTTCCTGACACCTCGGAAAGTCTCTTCTTTAACATTTGGATACTGGAATCGAATGTTGTCACATATCAAATTCTTTGCAGAACTGTGCAAAACACCTAACTTCCAATGCAGGTCCTTTTTAAGATAACCCTATGTCTTCTTGCTTTTATTAGGTGTGCGCAGAAGTTACTAAGAGATAAAGAACGGTTTTCAAATTCGCGTTTAGACTATACATTACAGTAATTGATATTGGAAAGCAAATTCTGTTTGAGAATTTCGAGTCGAAACAACGATGTTGTTCAATTGTTTGTTTCTATCTCAATGTTTGGTATTTATTCAATCAGTTCTTTATTGTTTCGTGCAATTTAAATAATAAAAAAAATTTCTAATATAAAATAGTATAATATATTATAGAAACTCAAAAAACCCACCGAACTCGGGATTTGATTTTATCTTCCGTTTTATTTATATATATATAATTCAAACTGAAATAAATTCGACTTTAGGAATAACTGATTCGTTTTCTACGGCTTATCAACCTAATGGCAGGTTAATTAAACCTACAAAATATTTTACATTGTAAGAATATTTTAAGGAGGGGAGATATGTCTGTATGTGTGTATGTATATTACATATGTATATACATGCACAGAAAGGGACAAAAACGAAAGAGTAAAGTCTATTGCTACCCAAAAGTTTTGGTTTTAATTGATTGATTCATTTTCAACCATTTCCTAGATAATAATGGTTTAGTCATACAATTCTTACTAATTAACACACATTTGGGGAGAAGTAGTGGATTAATACCATTCACAATAGTATTTCCATGTAAGTGAATATCACAAACCTAACTGGAATTTGAACTCTGCTCCCTGATTAACTATTCCGAGCTATTATCCATTACACCACCCTCACAAACAAGCTCACATCACCTGATATTTCCAAGCAGTCACCCATTTAAGCACTGATCAGGCTCGAAATTGCTCAACTTCGACGATCATACAAGAACCGGTGGTTCAACGTGATATGGCCGTAAGCCACGGTATAAAATTGCTCTTCGAAGATATAAATATATGTGATATCAATCATAGAAATAAAAATATGTAAATATAAAAACTATTATGGAATATGGAAATAACGTTATGTGACCGTAAGCCCAACATTCAAAAATAGTAATTGCTTAATAATCTAATACATTACATTTGATATATTCTGTTTACGGCTTAGACGGGTCGAACACTACGACGGAAAAATACAATGAAAGAGACATTACTATAGTCCTCAGTTTGAAAAAAGAAATCAAGGATTAAACATGTTCAGTTTATAATTCATACGGTACACAAATCTCTGATACAAGTTAGGAAAGTCGCAACTGTCTTAACCACTACACAAGCCCAGATATTAAGTCAGCTAATTTCCTTCTGTCATTTCTTCTCTGTGACGTGTCCATTCTGGATGTGGGTGATAACAGCTCTCCACAATTTGCTATCCCTCCTGATCCTTTGCAGCGTTACCCCCATTGCCCAAACTCCGGCCCCACATTTCGCTATCCATTCACCCAAGCTCGTCAGGTAGATGAGCCACTGTTTTCCGTTACATTTCCTTCCCTCGATATAACCTGGGAGATTTATGCATTCCGAGCCATACTTCCTCATTGAATCGAAAAAATTTCAGGTATCTTTATTTTTGATTCTGAAAGTGCTCATTGCGTCGATGAAATTCTCACTATCCTTCTGTAGAACCAAATATTTCTTGCCTGTAGTCTTATTTCAAGTGAGATAGTCCAGCATTCACAGTCCTGTCAAAGGATTGATATCACGTAGCAATTTGAACACTTTTCTTTGTTTCTAAGAAAATTGTCCTGTTCCAAAGTACTTTGCTTAGCTCTTGAAATTAATCTTTCGCTAATCGTTGAAAATCTCCAAGTCTTTCGACAGGGTTTTGCATAAAGGTCTTCTTTTTAAAGTGAAAATTAAAGGTGTATCCCGGCAAATTTTTGAACTGATCCAGCCTTTCTTATCAAATCGTCAAATGAATTTTATCCTGCATGGCCATTCTTCTATATCCCTTCGTGATAATGGAGATGTCTCCAGGGCTCAATTGTTGATTCTACTTTGTTTATATTTTTTATGGTATCAAGGCTTCTTAATATTTAAGCACAATACTAGACTAGCGACTAGGTCTCATCAATTCACAGTTGAGTTGGCTAGATGTAACAGTTTCTTTCCTCGCACTTCTTGCTTGTGGATTTCCGTTCTGGGTGTATGCTTCGCAGCCAACTTAAATTTCCAAAAATGTAAATGCAGTGTCATTAGCTATCTACTGTTCTCCTGACTACTCTTCTTTTTTCTTCGCTCTTTCGTAATGTTTCTTTTTCCTAATATTTTTTACACCCAGTAACCTCTTGTGCCTTAGTGGCTTTACTGCCTTGCTTGCGAGGAAATCGATCAAAAAAATCTGACTCTTGTTCGGATTTTGGTGTCTAGATATTTAAACTTCTGTCGCTAAAGGCCAATACAGGGTATGCGAGATGAGTTTTAATCCTGTTGCAACTCTCAAATATATATAATAAATTTTAGCATGGCACTGATCCAATAGTTGAACACCCATGAAAATTCCACACATAAACAAGTATCGTGACAATTATCGCTCTACTATTTGAATAAAGACGTACCGTAGTTTCTCGAAAATAATACGTATTTTTTTACTGTAAATTACAGGTGATATCAGGGGTACGTATTATAAATAGATTTAAACAAAAATATTTTTTTCGTTATTGATTTATAATAATATATACGTACTTGTTGTTCTAAATAAGAAAGATATTATCCAAATTTTCATTTTAAATCCGACAATAATAATTGTAACATTTTTGTCAATATATTTCTTTATCAGTAACTGCATTTTTTTATTTGGCGAAAAAATTAAAAATCGATAAAAAGGCCTATTTCGAATAAAAGAGGATATCAAGTTAACAATTTATTTAAATTTTAATTTTCATCATCATCACCACCACCACTTTCTATTATAGAATCAATATCTAAATTGTCATTAAAGACATTATCAATCACAATATTATCTACGTCCTGTTCAAAATTATCTTCGACCTCTGTATTCTATTGTTAATGGATGTCATCTTCATAGCCATCCATGGCTGTCGTGAGACAACACTTTTTGTTATATTTATCGGGAAAACCGCGATGGTAATTTTCAACATTATTTTAGCTGCTTAGTTTCGATTTTATTCTTTATGTCAAGGTCGACAAAATGCCTTCGCAATTATTTCTTTATTTATGACAAAATTTATAGATGCGTATTATACGTAGATATATTTTTTTTAAATTTTGGTGTCATCTGTTGGGGTGCGTATTATTTATGGGTATGTATTATTTTCGAGAAATTACGGTAGATAATTTAGCCACAAACTGAAAAGATTGATTTCTGAATTAGTTGCAAAGGTCAAGATGTTTCTTACTATAATATTTAGTTCTTAAATCATTAGATTATGTAACCTTAAGTATTTGCTGTAGAAATCGGCTGATGTTTTACTTGCCCTCGGATCTGATATGCTATAAAATTCGTCTATTTAATGTTTTATATTTTATTTGCGTCTTGAGCAAATAGAATTCATATGAATCGGAGCCTGTAACTGAATCATTGCATGTTTGATTGACACTTGGTCGTTAAATCTTGTTTTCATTCGCAAACGTATTAAAATTCACCAAGTGCGGCTTGAGCGTGTAAGAAAAAAAAATTGATAGTTTATTTAAGAAGCTTTTCCTCTTTAGTTGTAAAAACCGACATGACTGAAAATAATTTCTTTTTTTTAAAGAATCACTTTTAATAAGCGTACGTATATACCAACTGGTTACAATACACTCATGTTACACAAACACCCCCAAACACACACACACACACATCTATATATATATATAGAGAGAGAGAGATAGATAGATATAGTATTTATTCAAAAATTATAACATAAACATGTAACGTCACTACAAAAATAATCGTTTTTTTTCTTTAAAGATAATCCGAAATTAATTATATCCATAGAATAAAAATAGAGTAGACAATACTCAAAAATAATAGAAGCAAATATCCAAGTGTTGGAATGGTAAAGACGGAATAAAATTCTAATAACCAAAACCACTATTCTTAAAAGAGTGCTCAATACAAAGTAGAGCAAATGTGTTTTTAGACCATGAACAGAATTAATTTCGTATTATCTTTAAAGAAACAAAATGGCTGTTTTTGTAATGATGTTATAACATGCTTATGTTACAATTTCTGAATAAATATTATTTGCATTACTCTGTATTGCGCACTTTTTTTTAAGAACAGTGTTTTTGGTTATTGAAAATTTATTTCATCGACACCATTCCTGCACTTGCGTGTGTGTGTGTGTGCATAAGCAGCATATTTTCATTCAAGCCGATTTGGTTAAATAATTTAGCCGTATTATGTTTATTTGAGTTTTAATCCTTTCAAGCCCACGAATTAATTTCTTGGTGGCCGTAGAAAATTAATTACGAAAAATTCAAAAATGTTCTTTCCTAAGTATCTTCAATTTCATCTGAGACCCATCTTCAAAGGGTTAAAATATCTGTTGATGTGTATGCAGTAGCTGCGTAAGTTCAAAATATCTTTTCACTGATCGTTTTACAGCGTTCCAATTTCGAAACTAATATTAATAATATTTTTAAAAAAATGATGCTTATATTTAATTTAGTATTTTATATAAAACTTTGCTGCTACAAACATTTAAGAACTTTGGTTCTATACTCATATTTGATTTTATTTATTTTTGGCCGCACTTCTCTAATAATATAGAGGGCTTCCAGAATTTTAAGTTTTTACATATTATTTTCATGAAGTACTAATGTATTTTCGACTAATATCAGTCTAAACGCTTAAAGATATATATATATATATATAAACAAATGTTTGGAGGTACAAAATTTATAAATAGTTTTAAAAACTAGGAAACCATTGATTTTAATATTAAAAGTCTCTAGAGCCCTTTCAGCCAACATCTCATCAGGAGACAATCGTTGGATTAGCGAAATGAATAATAGCGATATTGAAGAGCAAAAAAGAGGGGAAACACACTAAAATAACGAACAAGTATATATACTTGTAACGAGGGAAGGGTTATCGTGTAAATAAATAGCGAGGGACAGTTTTGTTGAACGCAGTAGAGGTGGTTTTATTACTAGCATTTATCGTAAACCCACCTTTACTGGACTTTATTTGAATTGGCGTTCATTTGCTCCTGCATCAAGGAAAATTAATCTCGTTAAAACCTTGGTGTATAGAGAGCTTAAAGTGTGTTCCCCCTATTAGATTGGACCGTGAATTTGGGAACATTAGGGATTTTCCTTAGTAACGGCTATCCGGAGGCCCTTATTGACTACATTATAAGTAAGAAAACTAAGGAATTTCATTCCCCTAAAATCCAGGGCCTTCTAAATGTCCGGTTTATTTGAAGATTCCCTGGATTGGGGATAGTGGTCAGGGCTTAATTAAGCAGGTTAGCAAGTTGGTTTCCGGTTGTTTCCCATCAGTTGCTTTACGTAGCATTTTTCAAACTAGGTCTGCGTTTCCGTCTTTTCGCAAGGATGTATTGCCCTACATCAAATTGAGTAAAAGGGCTCTAGAGACTTTTAATATTAAAATCAATGGTTTCCTAGTTTTTAAAACTATATATATATATATATATATATATATATTAAGACATTTTTTCTTTATACATTCTTCTTATAGATACAAATGACGCCACACATAAAATGTCTTAAAATAATTGTCGGAGTTTGTCCATTTCATAATGCGTGTCGTCATTTGTTTACATTTGGATACGCCATGAGCAGATATGAATGTCTTGGAAGATTGTAGTTTAATGACAGTAAAATCAACCTTGCTAACCGAACGCACCTCTGTGGCCAAATCGATTAAAGGCACGCCAGGCTATTTGACGGTTCCGAATAGGATACAGGTTCGATTCCTGTCAGAAGACGAATATTTTCTTTGAAAATT